TAAAAGTTATTTAAAAACACATATTTTAAGAAAACTATCTATCTCTCTCTATATCTCTATAGCTCTTTATAAAAAAAACACACACAATTCAAGAGCTTTTACCTTTTTTTAATTAAAAAAAAAGAGTTTTTCATTATAAGTGATTTTCTCAAAACTTGTTTGGCCTAGTGTAACGCTTGGTAACTTGCAAGAACGACTGTCCCCACACACATTAACACGAGACTTTTCAGCGTGCTTTTTCCTCACTCACACACTTTCCTGGAAAACTTCGCAGGAGGTCACCCATCCTAGAATTTCCTCAAGTCAAGCACGCTTAACTATGTAGTTCTTCTGTTCTGAGCTACCGAAAAGTAGATGCATCTTGTTAGTATAGGTAGGACCAATTAATTCTTATAAGTTATTCCCAACTGTACTGTCCCATACCAGCACAGTCTCTGGAATTCCTCTCTTTCGGGTGTTGATTCGATTCATTCATGTACCCCCGTCGCTGGAAGCCTGTCAGGAGCTGCTCCTTGTCTATTCCCTTTCGCACCGGCGATCACTCCCTGCTCTCGTCAGCGCCCGGGATGTTACACCTAGCTTATGCTTATAAGTAGCTTTTAGTCTAAAAAAAGAGGATCCAAACAGACACTTAATGTAATCACTGAATAGTTTTTAACTTTTTTTAAGCTCTTCTCTTATAGCTTTAGTTTAAAAATAGCTTTTAACTTAAGAAGAGATCATCCAATTAGGATCTAAATAGATTATTCCAATATGCTGCTAGCGTATGGGCTAACATTTGCAAAATATATAGGACAAGCCCAATTGGAGTGTGCTTGCAATAAGTTGTGCATTGTTCTCTCTCTCTTTGTAATATTCTTAAACTTGGTTTAATGTCGTCATGCTTGCACGAAGGCCTCACATTCTTTGCAGGTAAGAGCCCTAACATTCCTCTATTCTTTTATACGATCCCTTTTTTTGGGCTAAGGGATTGTCTAGAATTGGGGTGCGCCGTAAGAGTGGCAGCCCACAGGGGACTAATGTAAGACGATAAGCCTGTAATACTCTCATAGGACAAAATGTTCTTATAACTTGGGTTTCAAGAATTCAGTGAAGCAAAAGAAATCTCAATATTATACATTTACAAATATATACACCACATAACATAATCAAATATCTTATTAGGATAAAATTATTTTGTACTAAAATAAGATATTTTAAAAATAAGATAAAATCTCAAAATAGGAAATAATCCAATATTATCAAAAATCATAATTTCAAAATCAAAATCAAAATCATAAAACTACTTGCTCATTTTACAACATTTCAACATTCTTCCGGAGAGTCAATAACTGTTGGGAATTCGGTTCCCTCAACTCAGCACGGAAGCATATCGCAAATCAAACGTCAAGTGCGGAGCTCGACAATCACAATCATAGGTAGGCCTGAGTCACCAGATCGGCTTGTACGCAGCTAGCGGAAATAGAAAAAATACAAGAAGAAAGAGACAGAAAAAATATAGTAATCTTTTAACGTGGAAAAACCTTTCTCAACATCAACATTGCACTACTTTTTATGATTGGAAATTACGATTATTAGGAATATGTCGGAAAAGTAAATTTCTCGAAAATATGACCAAAAAGATGTTTGGTAGATCAAAATATTACCAGGAATGTTGGCTCAAATTTCCTGATTCTATATTTGGTTGATTGTCAATTATTATTGGGAATGTATGATGATTTTAAAACATGCACTCCTTGCGCTAGTGGCGTCATCATCACGCGATTGGCGTGAGAAGAAAATATTGTTTGAAGTCTTAGCCCTAATGGTGCCATCATCGCACTAGTGGCATGGAAGCCAAAATATTTTTTCACCTCTCGGGAATTCAAGAATACCACCTCCTGGTGGTATTTTTGGATGGCACTTTGCCTTAAAAAATGTTCATAAATCATAATCCTGATAAAATCACATTCTTAATTTTTTTTTACAATTCTTGTACCAAACGTTGGTAAATAAGATTCTCAATGCCACTTTCTCCAGAAATCTAAAAAACATATTATTACATTCCAATGTTACTGCTATTCTAATAGTGACACAAATTTCTTGTTGAAAGTTGTTATTGGTAAATCGGGGAGAAAACTTTCCATGTAGCGGATGTATATACATTCCTGCCAAAAGAGGTAAGATTTTGGGATATGAAGAGAAAAAAAACAAGGATAAAAATAAAATAAAAATTCTCCATTTAGTAATACTGAAATTCGCAAACCATGATAGTTACATGCATTTTTATATTTTTCATTTTAAAAGAAAAATAGAGGGAATGGATATTAAAACGTGTATGTATTTTTTTAAAAAAAATATTACCTACAAAAATAATACAATAAAAATAGTGTGAAAATACCGTTGTTGTATCTTTTCAAACCCTTATCTTACACATGTGAATTTGGTTTCATTTTTGTCACTTCTTTTCTTTTGGACTATTATAATGTGGATTTGAAAGATGGGCTCTTTGGCCCATTGAAATTTTTTGAAGTTTTAATGTACAAATTTAATATTTGATTCACGGTATTTATTAATAGAGGTCGTTTAGTGACTCGAGAATGACTCAGTGTCACTGAGTGCTGCGACCCTCTCCCGCGTCACTTACATTTATTTTTTTCAATTGAGTGACGCTTCCTTCCTGGAGCACTTATAGGATTGTGCCAAGTGGCGCAATCTCATTAGTCTCATTACCGTAAAACTTTGGAAGGCCATAATTTTTGGCTCGGGTATTCAAATCAGATAATTTTTTTTATTTCACGTAATTTTCGAGATCTACGCAATTACACTCAATTTCACATATTTTATCTTCCATTAACATAGTACAAATTTGCAATAATAATTCAATATGTTTACAAATTTGAACTATGTTTGTGAGAGATAAAATATGTCAAATGAGGTGTCATTGTGTAGATCTCGAAAAGTAATGTGAAATAAAAAAATCATCTAATTTGGATATCCAAGTCAAAAGTTATGACCTTCTGATATTTTACGGTAACGGGACTAACGAGATTGTATCACTTGACACAATCCTATTAGTGCCCTAAGATAGGGGGCGTCACTCAATTAAAAAAAAATAAAAAATATGTGCATGATGCGCTAGGAGGGTTGCGGCACTGAGTGTTGCTGGGTTCTTCTCGCGTCACTCGACAATCCCTATTAATGAATATCGTGAATTAAATACCAGATTAATAAATTAAAGAGGCAAAAAGGCCAAATGGGTCAAAAGCCTTGAAAGATGCCTAGTCTAGTCTGTGTTGTCTCCCTTCTTCTATGTACGATGTACGTAGGCTTGGTTCAGTGACACGGGTATATCTAATTCTCTATGCTTCTAGATGTCACATTCAGTTTACAAATAAGTTCACTTTAAAAAAAGGGAGATTGTTTTCTTATGCTACATAAGAGTGTTATCTCCTATTCTTCTCACATCAAAAATTGAGTCCTATTTTTTTTTTCTTAAAAAAATAGATGGCCCACTTTATTTTGTCTCAGCATAAGATAACACTTATCACCTGTTGCTGAAGAAAGCTAATGCCCTTAAAAGAAATATTCCGTTTTGAGATACTAATAAATATTTGCTAACAAACTTCAATTCAATAAAAAATGATAATACCTAAAAAAAAGAATTTTATAAGAGTTATGTTATAAGAAAAGTAATTGTGTAATGTTATAGAGATTCGTTTTGCGTGTCGTAATTTTTTTTTCTTCAAAAAGTGTGTGCCCCACAAAATATTATATGTGTAGGAAAGTTTGTTGTGTCATGTTAAATGACAAAATGCAAACTCCAAAAAAAATGAAAACAAAATCTAGTATAACCATATATAAAAGGGGGTTGAGGCTGGTAAGAAGGACTAGAAGGTGGCTTGGTCCTTCCCCAAGTGAGAAATTCAGGTGGCATGTGTTGACTCTGTGCATATTGATCCTCTGGGTTAGCTCCACTATCAATTTCACTGCTTAATTTGCTACAATCTCATTTGCTAAGGGTCCGTCATCTGGTCCTCAATCTACCCTATCATAAATGAATCCCCTTGGTCCTTTCCTTTCCATTTGAAAATTAAGGTTTCTCTTTTAGCTGTTAGCTTGGGTTGCTTTTTCATCTCCTAGTCCAACCAAATGATGAAGGAAATTGATTTTTTTTTTTAACAAAATTATTTTTACATTATCCCCCAACCCCCAAAAAAAAAACAAAAAATAAAGTGATGTAACAAAAAGTTGTAAACAAATGACGTGAAAATATCGTTTGCCCGTTAAGAGATCTATGTATAAATTGAATAAGAGGTACTTGAAAAGGCTTTTGTGCTTCTATTTTATCTATTTTCCCGTTTACCCAAATGGAAAAGAAACTATTTTTTCTTTTTCTTTTTTATCTTTTAGGGGAGGGCCTACCCTAGTTTTTTTTTTTTTTTTATCTATTGTTCTAATAAAAAATATCAAATGTTTTTTAACTAGTCTTTGATCCCTAGTTAGCAAGACCCATTTGAAAATATAGTAAATGTTAATATAATCTTTTCAATTTTCAATGAAAATCAATACAACAAACACCCTGAATACATGTGTGAATTATTATTTAGCAAGACCCATATGAAAATAGATTAAGTGTTAATATAATCTTATCAACTTTTAAAGAGAATCAATATAACAAACACCTTGAATAAAGGGCATTCATGAGTGTAATCGTAGTGTGAATTATCATTCGATCAGAAATTTGGGAGTAAATCTTCTCAGTTTAAAATTTCAGTTGATGTGAAATTTTGATGTCTATCCATCTTTTAATTAACATCAAATAAATGGGGTTCAATTAAAATTTATTGAAAAAAAGAAGAAGATAGACACAAATTTTTTTTACTATAAGAGGATCGATTCCCAAGAAATTTATTTTGTTGTAAGCAAGCATACTTCATCTATAAAGAGATAAAATCATTAACCTTAAAGTACAAGCTATTCTCAATCACACAAGCATGTTGAATACGCTACACTGAAACATAAAGAGTAACACCAGGACAGAGTGCTAAGGATTTATTACAGCTATGAAAGCAACTATTGCAGCCGTGGAAAACAAACTTTTAATGGGTGAAATGCAGTAACTTTATTGACCTAAATACATAAGAAAATAGTCTTGAATTAAAGCCTTCTAAAATAAGATCCATATATTTTATATGAGTCTCATGAATTTCTGCCCCACCAAATTTTTGTGAACAATGAGTACACAAAATCTTTAAGGTGGTTCATTTTCAGCCCATAGCTGTGATTGGCAGTGCCTCTACCAAAGACTTTGCGTTATTAATTTCACTTGTTCCTCCATGAATCTTCTCATTGGCCATGGGAACAAAGTCCTCAAAGCAATCCTCCAAGCATCGAAGTTTTTCATCAGGATACAGAGTGTTAATCTCAACATCATTAGGTCCATCTATGCTGAAGTTAACTTGGCAACCGTTAATGAAAATATCATGGGTGAACGATGCTACAATACTTTCAGGTATACAATTTTCTGCATATGCACACATCAAAAGTAAAATTCATGCACTAAAGAATGGTCTTTAGCTATAACAAAAATATATATATATATAAGAAAAATAGTGGGAAGAGATTTGTGATCGAACCTGCAGCTGCAGCTAGAAGATCATCTTCTGAAATGGTGACTCTTGGCATTGTACGACCAATTTTCTTTTCCCATAAAGAAGCAAGGTCGTTGATGCTATAACAATTGCCTGAGGGTCGAAAATGAACATTTTTGTTGAGTGTTCTGATATCATCAATGGCCTTTATTGTGAACTTTCCAATATCATTTCCATCAACAAAGTAAGCTGCACATACAAGAAACTATTCACAATCTAGTTTTTTAATGAAAATTGGATCCAAGAACAGGACAAGTTGTTGAAATTCCATGTCAGTTTCATTATCTAAATGACTTCAAGTGCATGGATAGAATCAAATTTTCCATGATTATATGTTCCATCCAAAAAAAAATTAATTTAATTTAATTTTTTTTTCTTAAGCGCAACTTGGCCTAAGGGATTATGCGACTCTGCCTAATCATTTTTAATTTAATTTTAAAGCAATGTTAGTGTAAAAAAAAAAAGTACACTTTTATCTATAATAATGTGTTGGTTCCTACATCATTTGATGAGTTTGATAACTTATACAGTTTTTAACATAGTCAAATTCTTATACAGTTTTTAACATAGTCAAATTCTTATACAGTTTTTAACATAGTCAAATTCTTTAAAGAAGGTACCAACCCAAAATTAGATGTTGAATAAATAAATTTACCTTTAACCATGCATCAAAATTAAACTCAATTTTTTAATCATAGTGTATAACGACATATAGTCCACTCCAGGAATCAAACTAAAAGTGGCTCACGTTGATTACCCATCTGCCATTTATTCGGATAACAAGGAAAGCAACTCTATTATTTGGTACTTTGAAAATTATAGTATTATTGTTTATATACTTTTTTAGGTTTATATGGAAATTTGGTATCCCACCATTAAATATAAAAAAAATGCAAGTACCTTCATCCCTGAGTTTGACATCCCTTCGTTAATTTCTTTAATATTTACCAAACATAATTTATAATTTTCTAATTTAGAAAAACAAAACAAAGAAAGTGTGTGTTTCAGTTGTATCTTCTGGTTTTATTATCTCGAAAAAATAGTATAAAAATTGTGCAATGAGAAAATGTGTAAATATTATCATGACTTTCACAATTAAATAAGAAAAATTTGCTAGTAAATAAATAAAGAAAACTCTATTTCAAGAAAAATATGCTGAAATAAGAAGATGTAATAAAATTAGCCTAATCCGATAAAATAATAATAAAATTAAAGTAAAATTGGCTTCCACACCAAAAAAAAAAAAAAGAGAGAGTAAAATTGGCTTTTGTTCGGATCCTATTGACTCAGCCTAACATTGTCTATCTTGTCGTGAATAGGGTCGGGTTGAAAGTTTTTTTTTTTTTTTTTGATAACAGGGTTGAAAGTTTTAAAAGATCATAATCAATTATTATAATTATTAAGTTTTTTCAGTTTATTTAAAATAATTTCCATACCAAAAAAAAAAATTTTAAAAATTTATCTTTTTTAAATATTATCTAATTTCAAAAATGTTAATATAAATTAGTTTAAATATTTAATATAATAAAATTAAATAAATTATTTGAATTTAATTTTTTTACTTTAATTATATAAAATATTGTGTACGATTTAATATTTTTCCTACTCCGTTTGTAAGAAATATCTTGATTTCCAATTTATAAAAAACAATAAAATTGAAATAATTAAAGGGATGATAATTTTTCCTATAACAGAATAAGTTTAACACAGACATCAAACCACGTGCCAAACGTTTTTTCTTGGAAAAGGAAAAAACGGATAGCCCCACCACTTCTAATTAAATCCTATACGTGTATTGTCATTGTCGATGATGTGGATGGATGATAAGTACCTTTGACGTTGCCATCGCCATAGATCTGAAACTGATCCAACGGTGGGTTAACCTGGGATGGATGACAATTGTCATAATAAGGCCAAGAAGCAATGGAATTGCAGCAGATGTTGGTGTATGGAATCCCAGATTCCTCTGTAATACGCCTAATTAAACGCTTTTGTTTATACATTGTTAGACCTGGCTCTACTGGATTTGCCCTGTCCACGTCGTGTCCAAACTCCGACGGCAAAAATCTCTGCAACATTATTAATTACTTATAGAGATAATTAAGATCTAGTAATAAGCATTAATATTAATTTTGTTGTACACACACAAAAGCACATACTGTAATTCAACCCTTCAAGTTGTCATGTTTAACCCGTCACAAATAGTGGGTTGAAGTAAAAAATTTAATCCGTCAACCTGTTTGAACTAGTCTAGAGCGGGTTGACTAGTTGTGTTGATTTTTTTTTAAAACAAAATCATTAATGACCATTTTTACACCTTTTATATCTTTATTTGATACCTTTTATATAATTGGTATTTTAATTTAAAAAACAAAACATTTTTCTAAGGGTTTATCATCTATCATTTAACATGACCACAAAAAGTTTCCTACACACACAACATTTTGTGGGGCCCGCAGCAAAAAAAAAAAAAAAAAACTTCGGCACGCAAAACGAATCTCTATAACATAACAAAATCACTTTTCCTATAACATAATTCTTATAAAGCCCTTTTTCTAATATGATGGTTGGGCGAGATGGGTTCGAGGTGAGTTGGAATGGGTTAAAAATTTTAACCCGTTTTCAAAAACAAATGATCTAGCAATGCATGTCTTTATTGCTAAGAATTATTTTTTCACTTTCGTCTACGGAAAAGCAATATTATTTTATTGGGGATTATTTGGATATCATATTAAAGTAATGCATGAAGTTCAAGATAGTTAAGGGAAAAATTTAATATGGTCCAGGACTTTGTGGTCCCTCCTATAAGAATAAGAATATGACATTTGTATTAATTTCTTTTTTCTTTTTTTCTCTCTCCTCCGATCCATCCAATCAAAACTGCTTCGGGAGCACTAAATTTCCCCTCAGAGTCAAGATAAAAGTTGACAAGGATTCATAAAAAATAAGAAATGAAAAAAAAAGTTGATTGGGATAGTTTACATTTAATCTAATTTTATATGTTTGTAGGTTTTAACATGGCTATAAATAAAGAGAAAAGTCGTTGACTAGGTGTGCTAAATGAATTAGGAATTTTTGATCTGGTTCATGAGGGTCTGTGCTTATATGTCAAAATTGATTGTTGAATCAGGATCGTATAAAAACTCGTTTAATAAAGAGGCCTTACGCTCTAATTCAAAAATTCGGTCTTAGAGTCTCTCAGGCTGGTCCAGTATACTAATTTTTATTTTTGTTTTATAATTTTAAACTACTCATAATAACTCTCACTCTCTTCTCAATCTATTTTATCTCATTTTATTGGTTAAACATACTTTTTGAATGATTTTGTTCTATATTATGTTATTTGGATACACATTGAATTTATGAATCTTTGTGGAATTATTAGTGTTGTTGATCGTATATTCTGTTTGGATAAAGTTTTATTGTCGTATTTTTTTTTAACAGACTAAATCAGACTTTTATTTTTTGTAAATAAGTCAAGTCAAAACCTGGAAATTATATTCATAATAGGTAACAAGACTAGGTCAGACTGACAGATTTAAACACAGACTGAGTCTTTTAAAACTAAAGCTCGACCTAGTTCAACCCATTAACACGCCTATCCATGACAATTTAAAAATTAGATTACCATATATATATATAGGAGAGAGATCTTTTGACTTCGGAGTAAGACTTAGAAGTCTTACTCTTCATCTCAGCCGTTGATTTTTTCCATCTAACGGTTGTTATTTATTTAAAATTAATAATTAATTAATTAATTGTTATAACTCAATATCCTATAACTATGGGTGAGAGTGGGTCGGGCCATCCTACAGGGGTCTATGACATAATCTATATCAAGTCAGACTCGGCCAACTATATATAGGAAAATAGAACAGGTTCAGGCTTTTAAGAAAGCCTACTTAGGAAGTAAAACATAGGATTTTTTTTTTATATGTCGGTCCTATAAGCCTATAGGCCAGCCTATATCATATTATCTATTTTAAATAAAATAAAAATAATATTATTCATAGTAGTACCAAATAGTGATAGCTCAGTTTGTGCATGTGAGCTGAGTAGGTGGTGGAAGGACCTAGGTTCGATCCCCACCAATACCACCTTTGGGAGGGGCATAAGATCTGTACCAATTTCTATAGTAGCATCAGATCAACATTTAATGCTAGAGGAAGAGTTATTGATACTTATTGTTTTAGCTTGGCTGAAGATATCATCCAAGCTTTAATATGTGGTGAAGATTGGCTACGTTTAAGTATGGCTTAAAGAAAAAATAAAAGGTATAAAAATGTTTTTTGAAAATAAATTTTTGTCTACTACAAGCATCATGATGTGTTTGAAGGATTCATAAGTTATTTTAATTTACATAATATGGATTGATTTGCTGATGAAATATATGTCATTTAGTTCGGGCATTTTGCTTTTGAAAGTGACTTAAATGTAGATTGTGATAAATTATTGTTGTGATTCATGATTCTGTTGGGATATTGAAATTGTGATTTTTGTTTTAATAACATAATTTGAGTATTTTGTGAAGTTGATTCACGGTTCTACTTGAAAATTAAAAATTAACAAGCTAACGGGTCAGGCCAGACCATTAGTTTTTTTATAAATGGGACACACCAGGCTAACAGTTAGACATGTACTATGCTATCGGGCAAGGTCAAATTTGAATTTTTTGGCATAGGCTTGAATTTTTCGGGACAAAACTCGGCCCAGCCCAGCCCACTTTCACCCCTAGCTATAACCGTTAAATGGATGAAAATCAACAGTTGATATGAAGAATAAGACTTCTAAATCTTATTCCGGAGTCAAAAAATCCCCTCGCTCCCCCCTCCCCCCTCTCTCTATATATATATTAACCTAATTAAATTGACAAAGCAATAATAGGATCTAGGTATTTGTTGAAACATAGCAAAAAGAACAATTTATCATTAAAGGGGAGGGTACACCCTTAGAAATGTATGAAAAAAATCCAATTTGAATTTTATATTAAAAAAATATTTTTAATAATAGGGGAGTATATACATTCTTTATCAAATATGATAAAAAAATATACATTACACCGTCCTTATTTTTATAATTATTTTATATATATATATATATATATATATATATATATATATATATATTTTTTATAAGGGAGTACCAACTCCACGTGTCCAGAAAATGTGCTCTAAACAATGAAAAAATTTAAAGTGGACCGAGAGCATCTATTTTGGATGGTTCTTATTCTAAAAATAGAAAAATTTTGGAAATATAGATGGAATATAAATAAAAAGAAAGGAGTAAAATGGAATTTTCTTTTCTAAATTTGGACAAGAAACATGTGACCCGGGACCTTCCAAACTTCTCTGCCAAACAATAGGTGAAATGTCATGGTTAACTTTTTCGCTAAGCTAGCGATAATGTCAGTTCAGTATAGTACACCCTTAAGAATATGTACGAAAAATTAATAAATGAGTTTACAATATAAAATTTCATATAAATCTGACCTCTCAGATTTTCACAGCATTTTCAAGGATATGCCCAGACCCACAATGTAAGAAAAATAAAAATAAAAAATTGTCACCTTGATAGTCTTGACACATTTCATGGCCTCCACCAATATAAGCTGATCCAGCACACTTCCGCCCCCGACAAGAGAAATAACGACATCTATCTCGTTGTCTTTCAAAATTTTCACCATGATTTCCCTTTCATTTATTACACCCTACCATACACACAGGAATCGTAATAATATACATAAAGTCAGGATCACCCAAAAAACGTAAAAAATAATAAACGTAACGGTGAATAGAAAAATATCAAGAACCAAAAAGGTAGCTCATAAATACTCAAGATATGTTCACATATAGCCAACATTTGAACAACTTATATAATTTTATCATAGGTTCAAACATTAAAAAAAACAAAACAAGGTACATTTAACTTACATGAATGACTTTAGCACCTTTGTCTTGGAAGGATTTGACAACGGCAGCCTTTGAAGGGGTGATGGGTCCTGGCCTTAGAAGCATAAAGGTCGGGCGTCCAGAGGCAAGACTTGCCTTAGTTACGAACTGACCCATGAAACCGGTTGCTCCGATGACCAGAACTCCGCCGTTGGTGGCGGAAGGAATGGCTGCCGACACCGTCATGGTATTTTTCAACAACCCAGGGGACTTTTTGGTATTTTTATCTTATCTTTGTTTTTTGGTCACACTCACTGAAAAAGTGTAAAGAGAGATACCATAGCCCAACGGGGTGCTATTATTTATATAGCGCTTCCGCGTGCCTTATGATTGACAGAAAAATTAATTATTTCTTATTGTGCTAACATTTTTCAGCTACTCTTCAACACATTGAAAAGTTTAATGTACGAGATAAAACAAGTTTTGATGACACGAGTTTTAACCTTTGAAGTTTAGTTCTCACGTCTCACACTACGCTCTCTTTGACTGATAGCTAGCATCGCGGGGCGGCTCAAGTCATAGCAACTTAGCAAGTATTAATTAGCAGCCTTAAAATATCGTTATCAAAAGATGTTATAATTAACGGTTAAAATTTGATTTGGTGTAAAAAAGTTTTAGTTTGACATTAAAGTGAAATGATTATATATAAGGAAATGATCCGTTTACAAATTTTTTTAATTTTTTTTTACAAATTACACTATTTCTCCAGAGAGAACATAGTGAAATTAGTGTTCTCCCGAGAGAAGATAGTGTAGTTTTTAAGAGTTTGTAAATATAACTTGTTCTATATATATATATATATATATATATATATATATATATATATATATATATATGGCTTATCATCTATCATTTATCATTTAACATGACCACAAAAAGTTTTCTACACACACAATATTTTGTGGGACCCGCAGCAAAAAAAAAAACTTCGACACGCAAAGCGAATCTCTATAACATAATACAATCATTTTTCCTACAACATAACTCTTATAAAACCTTATATATATATATATATATATATATATATATATATATATATATATATATAAGGTTTTATAAGAGTTTTTTTAAATTTTTTTTACAAATTACACTATTTCTCCCAAGAGAACATAACTCTTATAAAATCCATATATATAGAGGCAGGATCCTTTGACACCGATGTCAAATTTAAAGTTTGACACCTCATCTGAGAGTCGTTAGATCAAAAAAGATCAAAGACTCTGATTTATAAGCATGTGACACCATTGATATTTTTTGATCTAACGGCTCTCAGATGATGTGTCAAACTTTAAATTTGACACCAGTGTCAAAGGATCCTGCCTCATATATATATATATATATATATATATATATATATATATATATATATATATATGGGTTTTATAAGAGTTATGTTGTAGGAAAAGTGATTGTGTAATATTATAGAGATTCGTTTTGCGTGCCGTAATTTTTTTTTTTTGCTTCAAAAAGTGTGGGCCGCACAAATTGTTGTGTGTAGAAAACTTTCTTGTATCATGTTAAATGATAAATGCAAACCTCCCATATATATATATATAGGGTTATATTTATCTCATGTTACATAAGAGAAGCCAATTTCCTACACACACAAAAGAGAGGTGGGTCCCACTTCTATTTTTTCTCTATTCTCTTATATGTGGGTTCCACTTATACTTTTGTTTCTACTACATGAGGTAATTTTTTACCTACAACATAAGAAAATTATTTTCCATATATATATATATATATATATATATATATATATTGGAAGAAAAAATATTTACTATTAATTAATAATTAATTAATACTAGTACCCTCGTAAAATTGAAGAGTAGCCAAAGAATCTTATAATCTTTATATTATGCAGAGTCGCACTATCCTATCCCAAAGGGTAGGATAATTTTTTTATTTTTTTTGGTACAATGGGTAGGAGGATAATTTAATTATTAAATTACATACAATTAACTACAAATTTATTTGATCATTTCATCCAACTAATTTACAGGAAATGATGCAACTATTAATTTAAGTTTTTTTATAAATAAATAGTAAAAATAATTTTCTCCAATTTTTTCATTAGCTTTCAAAATACTCTCAAAAAATTACCCACATAAAGTTATACACCCATAACCTCTTGTCTTGGATCTCCTTGTGAAGGGAGATTCCTGGCCAGAAAGTATATGTCCTAAAAATAAGAAACTTCCTAATTAGATGGACCACACCACATCACACCTTTAATAAAAGGGCAATTAAAAGAAAAAAGTTATCTCTAGATATATTAAATATGACCTAAGCTAGCTACCTTTCATTCTTCGCCCTTCGCTAACCTTTAACAATTTCAAGAACGAACGAATGACAATATGGTCGGTCAGTAGTTGTGGACGTCCTTTCGTCTCTATTGGATTAAAACTGTCAACTGGATCTTCCTAAACAACAGCAAAGTGGGCTTGGAGAGGAAAATGTAACAAGTCTAACTATTATTGAACCCGTCATATGCGCGGACAGGAAAAAAAAATTAAATTAATGTAATTAATTAAAATAATTATGCATTTAATGTTGTTTTGTTAAAAATTACACATATGTTGCAAAATGAGACGTCCTCTTTGGGCGTCACATGTGACGCCCCAGTGAGGCGTCTCTCCCTTGGAGAAGACGCCCCATTGGGGCGTCACATGTGACGCTCAAAGAGGGCGTCTCATGTGCAACCTATATATACCCCACTTTCCTTTTTTCACTCCTTACCCATTTACCTCTCTAACCTCTCTCCAACCTCTCTCCAACCTCTCTCTAACCTCTCTCTAACCGCAGTTCGTAACGAAGCTCTGCCAACGTAGGTAAGGTCATAATACCTCATATATATACATTTAAATTACAATGCTAGTTAGTAATACATGTTAGGATTGATTGTATATTAGAGACTTGAACCATTAGGATAGTTACTTAGAAATTTTGTGTCATGCTATGAATGTTGTAATGATATAGTAATATTATTATTACGTAGTTATTATTATTACCGATTTTTAATTATGTATTAGGGTTTAGCATATTAATTAGTGATTTACAAATAGTGTTAGAGACTTTGTAAATTTCGTATGTATGATGTTATTAATGCGGGAGTGCATAACTTTGTAGTTAGTTGAGGATAATGGCTGAGTCATCATCTTCTTCGGGATCTGATTCGGATGTAGAGCCCACCGATCCCAGCATGTGGATCATACCTGGGCCGTACAGGTGGGAGGTCCTTCGTAAGAGGACGCAGAAAGGTCATATTTCACAGCGAGTGTGAAATACTGACCATGTAAGAAAGATTAAGACTAGGCGTGGGAAGCCACAAGGGGGCCCACCTACCGGTGCTATTCCACAGGTTGTAAATCATAACGTCATTTGTGCGACGACTGGTTGATGGAATATTGGGATTTCAGACGCACCCATCTCACGAGATTCATCTCCTTCTGAAGCATTAGCATCCTCCGCAAGAAGATGTTCTTCCATTGCCATATTTTCATCGTCGTCATCGTCATCTTCGTCGTGCATTTCCCAAGTCGGATCATTTTCATCTCCCTCAGAAAAGTTACCAACTGGAGACGCATGAGCGGCAGGAGAAGCTGGAAGACGGGGAGAATTTAAATAAACTGACATCACCGGTATAGGAGCATTCTCCGTTGCGACGATGTCGACATACAACTCTAGAAAATCTGTCCTTGACTGGTTGCAAAATTCTTCCATTGTCATCTCCAGGTCTTCATCGTCAAGCACTTTCAAACTAATGTATTTATCACCTTGCCACACCCTTGTCGTGATCTCAGTGATACATTGGTTGTCTTGAAGACTTAACTTCTGCCGAATTCTCTGATGCAGTTCGCCAATGGTTGTGTTGCGTTGGATACGTGTCGGCCTTTTTTCACCTTCAAATATGACACATCGTCGACCTTCTACCTTCCTACCATTGTAATATAACACAACACGAACAGAATCAGGATTTGAACTCATTTTTAAATAGAATTAGAACTAAAATTCAAATACTAAATTAAAGATAAAGGAATGTTGGTGGAGAAGAGAGATATAAAGAGTGAGAGAAGAGATGTGAATTGAATGGAGCGGGTGAGGAAATATATTGAGCACACATGTGACGCCCCTTTTGGGCGTCTTCTTAATGGGAGAGACGCCTAAAAAGGGCGTCATATTGTGCAGTAGATGTGTAATTTTTTACAAAACAGTATTAAATGCATAATTATTTAATTTAAATACATTATTTTAATTTTTTTGCCTGCGCAGACAACACATTTATTCTAAATAATTCACATTAGCAAATATATATATTGGGATTTTTTTAAATTAATCTCAAAAAATTATTATCCGAAAAAGATTTAAAATAATAATATATCTGTTTGGTGGTTTTGTACCTTTCTGCACGCCACGTGTACAAGTAGCAAGTGCCATGTCGAATGATGCCTTTACCTAGAAAAGATTAATCTGTGTTTCCAAAAAAGAAAAGAAAAGATTAATCTGTTTGTTGCGTTGTACATTTAAGATAGATCGATGTTGATCCGTATGACATCTTCCAAGTGCCACTCTAATCATAAGTCATAACATATGACCCACAATCCTAATTCCTTTTTCTAGTTTGTCTTTTTCATTTTTTATTTCTCCAAGTTCATTGAATCTTTTTTTAATTCTCTGTATTTGTTATTATTTTCTAATTAAAAATGAGTCAACACATTTTTTTATGTATTATAATGATAAGAAATTCGAAAGTCCACAAAACATGATATCTGAAGGCAACAAAAGATTAATGTAGATAAAATGGAAAATGCATTATACTTTTTTAAAGAAGATTCATCCTAGCTCAAAGATCGAAGAAAAATAAATTGTTTTTGGCTTAAGGTGTAGATTTTTAGTATCATAGCACAAGAGCAAATGCATTAGTCTCCGGCGTTTGGTTCAGGAAATTTTTTTGGAATAGTAAAAAAATAAGATAGATAGAGAAATGATTAGAAAAATAGATAAAGTGAGATAGGTAAAAAAATGTAAAAAAAAGTTATTTGGTGGGGAAAAACTTTACTGGAAAAATTAGGTAACTTTATGAAATCAACAGTGCATTAAAAGTCAGATAACCGGTTTTCCCAAAAATCCCACCTTCAAATTGGGTTTCTAAACAGTGTGGATATCTATGTTTCTCATAAATCCAGACAAATTGGATAAATGGGTTTTTGATGAAAAATGTTGA